CGCAATGAACATGTTATTACATCATCCCAACGAGAGAAGATTAAATGCATTATTTATCCTCCTTTACACAGAATGCACTGTGGTTTGGGGGAGTGGTGCCCCAGTGGTTGGGGCAGAGGAGTTGGAATCCTGAGGTTGTGAGTTCAAAACCCTCTCCTACAGACTGCCACTCTGGGTTTCTGTGTAAAACCCTTAACCCCTGATTGCTCTCTGGGTGCTGCACCGTGGCAGCCCATTGCTCTCCAAAGGGGATTGGTTAAATGCCGAGAGTTTATTGTGAGTTTATCTTTGTTGTTGATCAAGCAGCTAGTCCGATATGGCAAGAACCAAGCAGATCGCCCATAAATCCACCGGAGAAAAGGCTCCCACACTGGAAAAAGTCAAAAGCTAGATAAGCCAATTTTTCTTAAAATGCATTTGTTCTTGGATTGAGGAGGTAAAATAGAAATGTTGCCAATGGAACAAGACAATTTACACTTATAATAAGAAAACACAATTGCATTGTCTTATTTCAAGTGCATATTATCTAATTATCTTATTTAAAGAGTAAAAATGCTCATTCCTTTGGCAGATCATCTTATTTACATGCTCAAATTAAGGCTAAATACACTTAGTTTACTCATTTCTAGATTGTTTTTGCAGTGTGGCTCTCTGAGGAAAGACCCTTAATCCCAGATTACTCCCTGGGCGCAAAGGTAAATTCCTCCAATGTGCGATCAATAAAGTTCAATTATTATTATTAAAGCTCAAAAAATATTTAATGCACCTAAAAACTTGTGATTGGCAAAAGATGGAACTCAAAAGGCATCAAATATGCTAAAAAAAAAAACAAACAAACCAAAAGCAGCATGTTTCACTTAACAGTAAAATTTATTTATTTTTGTAGAAAAAAAAAAAAACTATCACAAACTCCATTTGGTTACTGTACATTTCAGTTTTCACATCAGTCAGTCTGGATGGCAGGTTATGATCTCATGCTGAACACCAAACAAACCGGAGACTAAACCTGCACATCTATGGCGCTACATCAGTGATCTTTTTCTCCTGCTGTCAGCTTTTCACATCCTCTTGATGTGTGATCTGTAGAAAAGCAGCTAAAAAAAACCCTTTTATATGTATCAATATATTTTTAAAAACTGGAGTAGTACAAATCCCCGACAGAGTCGCTGAGAGTCGGAGCTCCTGAAACGGCATGGTCCATAACCAACATGCAACCTGACGGGTTCCTGTGTTGGGACAGCACCATAGTTCACTATCTGCATGTCAGAGAGGCTCCCTGCTCTACAGGAGGCGGTGCAGAGAGGAGATAGCTGTGCAGGAGGGAGGGAGGGAGGAAACTAGGTCAGATTGAAGTGCATGCATACACCCAACCAGTCCTCCCCTTTGAAACTAAATAATAAAATCGTACATAAAGTGTCTCTAGACAGATCTGCATGCATGATCACCCATCGTGGGGATAAAATGACTATATGGAGCAAAAGGATGCATCAAGTATGTCTCCCTGAGAAACACCTCATCCTCCAGTACCGTAATCATCCGACTTCACCGGCCGCTCCTTTTTCCATCCTCCCCCTCCGCTGCTAAAGGAGGAAGAATCTGGGCTCGCCTCAAACATTCAGCTCCTCCTGCTACTTCACAATAATTCCCGACACTCACCGCTACGCTACAGCTCTCCGTTTTCACCAGGGTGGTGCTACGGCCCACTCCACCCTCCCCTTTATTCTTAGTGATTTTTTTCTCACCTGTGTGGTGAAACCCTAAATAAGTCTCCTCTCACACAGGTGTCAAACGCTGGGCTGATGTCCTTAAGGCTGAAGGAAAGGCAGGAAGAAAGGTTAACGACTTTTTTTTCGTCTATTCAAACCAGTTTGAAACGCTTCAACCTCAAACTACATTCGTGTTCCCAATTTAAGATGACACCCCTGAATAAACAAACATTGCAATGTAATGTTTCCCCAGTAAAGCTGACCAGTTGTAATGGGACCATCACTGCTTTTATTTTAGCCAGTTGGTATTTAAGGAGCTGAAATCTTACATCCTCCGTCACCGCTACGCAAAGCAGAGCCTAAAGCCTCCGAAGTTCCTCCCACCTGGCTGCGCTCAGACTTCCTCAGAGTTCGAGGAGAGCATGCGCAATTTTATTAAATTCATAGAAGCAAAACATGCAGAAATGAACGCTTAATTTAATATGACATATTAAAAACATCCCCATCAGCTTCAGTTTCTGCCCAAATATTTTCTTTTTGTTGTGGATTTTTGTAAAAGGGATAACTAGGATCATCCATGGTTTGTATAACGCTATGTTTGTTCTCTGCTTCCAAACTCAGAGATGAGAAGTTTCCTTTGACTGGATTTGATTCAACTTTTAAGCCTCTTGTTATAAAATAAATATTTTGACTGAGATGAGAAATCTGCTTCCTGGAAGCACCAATAGTTTGCATCCAATAATTTAATCAAACTGCCTTAATTTTGGGGAATTATTTATAAGAATTATGCTCTAATTTGTAGTTTCCAATCTGTCATTACAATATTTTAATTTGACAAACGGGATCACTTCGCTGTTCTTTTTCCTGTTTGGTGTTTGGTATTTTTTGCTCCGCTCCGGTCAAAGCAGGTCGAGATCTGCGATTGCAATCACACCAAACAGGAAAAAGAACAGCGAGGTGATCCGGTTTGTTAAACTTAAATATTGTAATGACTGATCAATAACTTAGAGCATAATTATAATAAGCAAAAAAAAAAAAAATAGCTCGGCTACGCATTTTGATGGTGGAAGATGGAGAAGATGTATGTGGACGGTGATGTGCGGAGGATGTGGAACAGCTCTCTGAGGGTAACAGGAGACCCTAAGGAGATGGGGAAACGATGGCCGGTGTAGGTACCAGATCAGCTCGGGTGGTCAGATCGGCTCAGGGCCATGATCCTTCTTATGACGTCATTATACGGCAACTCCACTCAGACAAACTGTATTGCACCCGTTTCTTAAGAATCTGATCTCTTTTTGTCTAAACATATAATTACCTATATTAGCTAATATTTTACATTTCATTGGCGATCTAAAGTAGCCAAAAGTAGAAAACAATCATTGTCAGTTTTGAAGGAAGGTGCTGCCTTCTCTGATATTTACACTGGAAAAACAGTCTAGAAATAAGTAAACATTTCTCAAATTAAGTGTATTTACCAGTAATCTGAGTAGGTAAATGAGATAGTTTGCCAATGGAATGAGTATTTCTACTGTTAAAATAAGATATTTAGATAAAATGCACTTTAAATAAGACAATGCAATTGTGTTTTCTTATTTTAAGTGTAAATTGTCTTGTTCCATTGGCAAAATGTCTCTTTTACCTCCTCAATAAAGAACAAATGCACTTATTTTAAGAAAAAAACAACATATGTAGATTGGGATTTTTTTCCAGTGTACTAAGGTTTTTATTAAGATCTAAGGGGCAGAAGACAAATGGGACATCTTAAAAATGAGTTTGGTAGAAAGTTTAGACAAAGAAAACAGTTGTTCTACTTGGAGAAAATAAACGGTTGTTGACACAAAGTTAACCCCTTAACGCCTGACTTTGCATTGATGTATATATCTATAAAACAAATAATTTGCATTTACGGTAAGTAGTTGCCAAATTCAATTAGAATTTTAAACTTTCCATTTATCTAAAAAAAAATTAAATAAAAGTGTAGGTATATTTCAAATTTGTGACAACGTTTATAACGGTCAATTATAACATAGCAAACACAAAAAGCAAAGATAGCATGTGCTTTCCACCAGTGCCAGTTGTTGCATATTCAGTGTGGACCTAGGAACCTTTGGCAAGCTCTTGTTTCTGCTACAACTTCCTGCTAAAGGTTCCTGGCACTTGGGGAAAGCACATGCTATCTTTGCTGTGTACGTAATGCAAAGGGTTTGTTGCATATTTGAATCTGTTGGCATCAAGGGGTTAAAAGTAACGTAGCTTAACATGGCTAACTGACTGAGCTAAAAGAGGCTAACCTGTTTGTCGTTACCCGAGCCATCCTGAAGGCACGATCCGTTCTGCGCCATCAGCTCTTTTGTGCATCTAGATATACATCCATTTTTTTTTTTTAAAGAGCTAAAGGATATTTTTCCCTCCCGAAAAATAGTAAACACACTAAAATATAAAGTTTTAAAGATTAATAATGTACTTCCTGAGAAAATAAATGCCTTAAAATAATTTCTGTTTTATCACTCTGTGCCCGATCTGCACCGTAAATGGGATGCTACGCTACTTCCAGTGGCTAACTTTTTCGGCTTTGGATTTAACATAAATCTAGCCTTTTTGAGTTTTATGTTTTCGTTTTGTTTTAACCTTATGTTATATAGGATGTGATCTAAAGAAAGAAACAACTTAAATGCAGATAAACATGGCTTAATCATATTTTGCCAGACTGCTCTGAGTATGTCTGATGATGACGTCTGAGAAGCAGTTTAATGGAAAAAATATAAAAAGCATCAAAATTGTCTCACAAAAGTCATAAAAATTTTTTTAAAGGTGTGTGTTAGCATTCTTTAGTGAGTTAAAGATAGAAATAATTAGTTTTATTAGCATAATTACATTATTTATGGACACCTAGACGGATCTGTTAGCTACAGAAAACAGCTAGCCACAGCGCTACCCAGCTCTCCCCATTTCTACCAAGGTCTTGCAGATCAGATAAAACTTCATTAGACACGCTAACATTACAGATGCTACCCAACGCTGTATGATGTTATTATCGTTTGGGCAACCGCAATGTTTTACATCATGTAGCAGCAGTCAGTCAGCCAGTCATGTAGCGTAACGTCACTGGCATGAGGGCCCGAGCAGATCTGGTTCCTACACCGGCGGAAGTTTGGCCCCTACAGGAAGCTCATCAACATAGCATCCCCAGCTTGAGGGTTCAACGCCACAGAATCGTGTTTTTCTTTTGTAACGCACGCGCCCTTCCTTGCTAACTCCAACCAGTTAGGAGGAATCTCTTTAGCCCTTTTTTTTCTTCAAGTTTTGTAAGAATAAACTAAAAATGGCGGTGTGAACTCCTGTGTGAAGTGATGGTGCAGGTGCGCTTGAGTGTTTCTGTTGCTCGTGTGAGATCAAGCAGAGGTTAAAAACATATCTTTTTTCTTTAACAAATAAAAAGCCGTCCACTCAAAAGGAAGCATCACCTAAAAGTCAAGCCTTCCTCTCTGTATAAAAACCTTCTTTTTTTTTCTTCATCTCTTCTTTGTTTTATGCTAAAAAGCAGAACCTGGGGTGTCGACACCTCAGCAGAAAAAAAACAAAAACAAATGAAAGAACCAAACCAGTTTTAAAAAGAACTTTCCCAACGTCCGACTCCTCCTGAGGAGTGGGGGTTTGTGGGGGGGGAGGGGGGATCCTCTTTCCTGTGTTATTATGAAACAAGTTTCGGCAGGACTGTGCGAAGGGGGAGGGTGTCCCCTGAATCTGCGATCATGTTGTTCTTCAGTTTGTTGCCGGGGGCCGTCATGCCGAGGCCAGGCCCCCCCTTGGTCAGGATGGAGGGAAAGGAGGTGCTGTGGTGCTCAGGGAGACGTTTCCCAGGCACCACCGGGCTCTTCTCGCTCCCGGGGAGGGGTTTGGGTAGGCGGCGGTACAACCAGGGGTGTCTGAGGGCCTGGCTGGGCGTGAGGCGGGACGACGGGTCCCAGTCCAAACACTTCTTTATGAAGTCAGTAAAGGCGGGGTCCTCGCAGCCTTTGAGCGCCGCACTCCAATCCTTGCTGCCTGGAGGGCCTCTCATTTTCCCGCGGCGTGAGCGCGACCCCGTGAGCACGGTGGCGCCGGTCGGCAGCGTGTTGACCCCGCAGTAGCGCGGCTGACCCTTGGAATTGATGAAGTTCTTTACCCTCTTGGCCTGCTCCAGGATCTTCTGGGGGGGCATCCCCAGCAGCTCCATGACGCAGGCCAGCTGGTCGCCCTCGTCCTCGCCGGGGAACAGCGGGTAGCCCGTCAGCAGCTCGGCCAGGATGCAGCCGAAGCTCCACATGTCGATGGGGAGGCCGTAGCGCGAGCCGAGGATCACCTCCGGCGCTCGGTAGAAGCGGGACTGGATGTAGGTGTAAACCCGCTGGTGCTCGAAGCAGCTGGAGCCAAAGTCGATCACCTGGCGGAAAAATAAAAAGACGAACATTAAAAAAAAACAAAAAAACAACAAAAGCAGCTGAAGGACTTTAGAGGTGGCAGCAGGTACCTTGATGCCGCTGCGGCCCTGCTGCTTGAGCAGGATGTTTTCAGGCTTCAGGTCGCAGTGGATGATCCGGTGCCGGTTCAGGGCCTCCAGGCACTGCAGGATGGAGTGGGCAAACTTGCGGACCAGAGCCAGGCTGAAGCCCTGGAACTTGTTGCGCTTGATGAGCTCGTACAGGTTCATGCTCAGCAGCTCGAAGGTCATGCAGATGTGGTTGCGGAAGGTGAAGTTCTCCAGCATGTGCACCACGTTCATGGCGCCGTTGCGGTCCTGCTTGCGCAGGTGCTCCAGGATGCGGATCTCCTCCTGCGCCTGCCGGTGGAAGCGCTTCTCGTTGCGCACCATTTTCAGAGCCAGGTGCTGCTGCAGCTTGTGGTCGTAGACTTTAGCCACCTGTCCGAAGCTTCCCTTACCGATTATCTGAGGAGGAAAACGGTTGAAGGTTAATGGAGAAAACATACAACCCTCTGCCTCTGCTCAGGAACGCGCACTACCTTCAGGAACTCGTAGCGGTAGGCCAGGTGGTCGTGGGGGACGTGGATGTAACCGCCCTGCTCGTCGTCGTAGCCGCAGTTGTTTAGTCCCCCGGCGACCACGGGCCTTTTCCTGGCGTTGGGTCCCACGAAGTAGACGTCCGGGTAGGAGTGGATCTCCGTCTGCTCCAGGGCGGTGAGCTGGGACCGGTAGAACCTCAGAGCCTGCTCAGGGCTGAGCGTGCTGCACATTTTGCCGCCATTTCCGGCTCCCTGTGAGCCCGACGATTCGCTGGAGCCCTTGCTGTGGAAAAGAAGCGTTACGGGTGAATAAATCCACTTCAAAGGGACCAGCTGATAACCTGAGCGCTCCACCTCCCTCACCTGTCCACCCTGTGCTCCTTGGACAGACCGGACGCCGTCGTCTTAGTGGGCGTTTGGCCAGCGCTCCCGCTGTTCTGGATAACCGCTGTGGTTATGGCGTTTATCTTTCGGTTGTTGGTCATGTCTTCATACAGGTACTTGACCTTCAGCTGGCTGCCTTGCACCTGATCCCTCATCACTACCTTGTTACTGACGACCTGCAAGGAACAGACAAACAGACATGACCTTCAGCTCTGGTTCACTTCTAAACTGACCCCAAAACGCGTCAAACCCCTGAGCTGAGGTCCTATTTCTATGATTATAACAAAGAAAACAGTTGATCAAAATGATCCATGTTTAGGTAAAGAAAAGAGTTAAAGCAGCTGGTAAACTGGCACAACTGGTTCAGGATCCAAACTCATTTATTAAAACAGCCTAAACTCCACCCACTGCTGTGTGAATACGTCTGTAGGATCCACCCAAACAATGTGGACGTCCTCACTCTAAACCATCGACTGTTCTTTGCTACATTTCAGGTGGTGGAACGACTTAATTATCAGACTGTGTTCATTATTATTCCTCCACTAAATGAAAAAAGGAAGAATTAATTATTATCTAGAGAATATTAATAACAGGAGGCGAAATGCAGCTCCAGACGAGCCGAGCGTGTGGTGATGTCATCAGTACGCTTCTGTTCCAATTGACCCATATTTATGCTGCGTTCCCCCTGTTCTCCACACTTCTCTGTTTCTTTTCAAGAACATACTTGGCGAGAACATGAGTCCGTACTCAAAACAGCCAACAATTCGCTCTCCAACTATACACCTGTAACGGTCACCACTGCTCTGCAAAGATTCTTATTTCGACCGATGCGTATATTAGCTGCGACATATGAAGGCTGACGTATAAGTAACTGGCCTGCATAAGGTAATGAAAAAAAAAAAACAGATTTTAGGACATGATTTTATATAAAAATAGACATTTTCTAAATTTTGGGACGATATGTTGCGATAAAGACTATATTTATATACATGTTTAAGCCAGAATGATTTGACATTTAAATATGATTTCCCTGCAACCTTAAAATACTTATTTAGATTAATTTTTTTCCAATGTTCTTAAATCCATATCGGCTACTGGACAGTTTTCTGACAGCAGCTGCAGCTTCTGCTGATGTATCTACATCCAAACATGGTGCTATCTGCTCTCAGGCCTGTAAACAGAGATATCCCTTATTGCTCAAAGGAAAGGTTGGCCCATAAAGACAAAAATAAAAAAGGTCTCAAGCCGTTCCAGTAAAGCATTTCATTTCCACAACGCCAGGAATTCCTTCCTCGCTGTCTGACCTCCTTTTTTTTTTTTATCACCAGCGGAAAAAAATCGTCCGCAAGATTACGGAGCACAGAGGAAATAATAGTCATTAAAGTCAGATTCTGCTCCAGACTAGAAGAGCAGCAGACTCCCTGACACAGACTTCTGTCCCTCTCATTTGAAAAGTTATTCTTTTAATGGCAAAGTGGTTTGTGAAAGTGAGAAACTCTTCCCTTAAAGCTGGAGTGAGTGAAACCACAGCGATTTAAAGAGACAACAAAACGAGCTGTTTAAAGAGGACACGCCGCCATGTTCCCTTGAAAGAGGACTCAGCCGGCAGAGTGTTTGTGTTGTAAGCCGGAGTCCTCAAAATAGACCAGGAATGCAGGACGGGTCTCCATACGTGTAACTATATAGTCTGAGCTTATTTCTGCCGAAGCGCTTCTCTGCAGTTGCAGTGAATGTCATCGATCCAGCCCCCTTCGCTCAGGCAAACATGCGCGCTCATATATAAAATAAATAAAGGAGGCTTCATGCACGTGCTGCAGGACGATGGATTAGTGGATGGCTGCGCCATGGGCCTGATGGGAGAATAAAATAATCATTTCAAAACTAGGATAAAAAAAAAAATGAAAGAGGAAGCAGGCTTCTAACGCCGGTGTTATTGAGGGCAATACAAGTCGTGTTCAAATGTACGTCGGAGCAGCTGGAGGAAAGCTTAGCTCCTTGCTGTCAGAAACACCTAACAGCGCTTTTCTTTCCGATGAAAAAAGATAAATTGACGGTGTTTGATAGCGCTTAAAAAGAAACACGACGATAACAAAAAAAAACTAAATCAGCATCAGACTGGAAACAGGGAACAGAAAAATTAGCATCATTTTATACCTTTAAATATCAAACTCTGTCCCTTTTTTCCTTTTTCTGTAGATGAAGTTCTGTAGAAAACATCCACTTCATCTTTCCTCTGTTCCAGTTCTGAGGGTTTGGATGTTATATTAGAAATACATGAATTTAAATAGAGGAATAAAAGGTTTTATGAGACCTCAGAGATCAAGCAACATGATGGAGCTGGTGATAGATCCTCACACCGAGGAATCAGTGGTTTCACTTTCTTTCATCAACACTAAGAGAAAAAAACAGCTTTGCCTTCTTTCTAGACTGTTAAAAAAAAGCACAAAAACTTATTTTACAATTTACCACCATTTGAAGCACTTTTATTTTTCCTCTCATTTCTACCAACTAACCATCATTTGCTCTGAGCATTGCTATGTGATCATCTGTGTATTTTTATTGTAATGACACAAAGACAACTTGAATCGATTAGATTAGTAAAGCCTCTTTAGTGGCGACTATAATAGAATCCAATAAGTTATCTGTGGCTTTTCAGTTAATAATTAAAGACTGTTAATCAGTGAAGGAAAAACACTTCAGCTTTTAAGGCGAAATGTGTAAAAATGCTGTTAAAAAGCCAGAAAATGAATATGTTGTAATTTTATGAGATACATAAAGAATAGAAAGTCCAGCTTTTCACTAGGGGTGTGGGAAAAAATCTATTTGGGGATCCATCGGGATTTTCGGCTGCCCAATATAATATTAAAATTTCAGTACCTAATATTGCTGTGGAGCCATTTTACTGTGCGCCGCAGCATGGTTTCTCTAGTGGAGGCAGTCACAGAGGAAGATGTGGACTGACTTCCTGAAACCCCAAACAATGTGGATTCTGATGACCATATACAGCACTTGCTTTTTATCTATACATTTCACTTTGGACATATATCACAATATATAGTGATATGGCAATATTGTGATAATATCTTATCGGGACCCAAGTATAGTGAAACGTATCGTAACACACCTGCCAATACTCACCCCTACTTTTCACATTCGAGGAGCAACAATTGTAGGTCTCTGACTGATCTTTACAAAAATTTCTGATTTTGATCTCTTTTAGAATAGTTAGTTTTTATAAAAACCTAAGAAACATTCAATATTTCAAACTTATCTCACTGAAAAACGTTAAACGATACCAATAGAATAACCTATTAATAGGTTATTGGGGGGTTTAGACCTTTACAGAAGTAGATCAAATCAGTGTCACGGCCGATCGAGTGAAGGAAGGCCGACTGATCGGCTGGTCGATCAATCGGTGCATCTCTAAACTCCACTTGGGAAGAAACTTTAACCCAAAGCGAGACGATCTCCTGTCAGTCCCACCGAACAGAGGAAAACCACGACATGATTACACAGATATAACAGGAGCGGGAGGGAGAGCGAGGATCAGCGGTTTGTTTGTGGGTCACATTTTCAAGCCCAATAAATCTTTACAATGTATCAAAGCAGCCTCTTTTTGCTGGGATGGTGAAAACAGTGCCTCGTTGAAGAAGGACATCCAGAGCGACACGTTAAGTCATCAGTGCTGGACTTCCACACAGAGAAAAACTTTACAGAACAAACAGAATCGTTTATAAGACAGTCGTGTGTGCGTCTGCCTTCCCTCCAGGGACAGTGCAGCATTTTGTATATAAAAGGGGAAAAGGTCCATTTAGGTAAATGTTTCCTGCTCATTCTTTCAACAATGATCTCCTGTTTGCTCTCAGACCAGACTGTCCACACAGGGTTCCTACATGGGCTGTGGATCTCTGCAGCTCCTCCAGAGGAGCCATGGGCCTCTAAACTAACACTGCAAAAACCGAAATAGACTGATCTGATGATCAGCGTAAATCTGATGATCTTGTTTTAAGTCCAAATATCTTATATAGCTGCTCAACTTAAGGGCAAACACACATTGAAAGACATTTGTATTTATTTTCAGATCAGTTTTGGAAGCGTACGTCTGATTAATGCTTCCCTCGAATGGAGTGAATTCTGTTGCATTAATGTTCCAAGAAAGAAACAAGTTTGTAAAGGAAAAAAAAAAAAATCTATCCAGAAATATATCTTTTCAAAACGTTTTATTAACTTCATCTGATTCTTTTTTTCTTAATTTACATATTTCGTTCTTTGCTTGGAAGAATAATGGAACAAAAATGACTCCATACCTTTACTCATCCCATCAGTCAGAGGTCCTTATCCTCATGTTGGTTTTTGATCAGTCGCATTAAAATCACTTCAGTTTACTAAAATAATGTGACAAAAAAAAAAAGCTCAGTGAGGAGGCGTACGTTTGGGGAAGCTAATTTGCATCCGTTTTCCCTGCTCCATTAAACTGACAAAGTAAATAAAGGATCTCAGAGGACGGACTGCACCTTCTGCTCCACATTAATCGTTCTCCATCACCTGCGGTTTAATCGACGTTACATAATCAGAGCTTCTTCCATGAAAGGGAATCAGAGCGGCTGAGTTAAATCGTGTTTGAGACGGGCGATGATCAGGCGAGTGAAGAGGAACAGAGACTGTAGGAGACGTGTCTCTGAGGAACAGGAAAAGAGTGTTAACCCGCTCTGGGTGTTCTTCTCTGTACTTACTGTGTGTTTGGACATGGTGGGCAGAGCAGAGGGGCTGTTTGTGTCGGCTTCTTCCTTCAGGATGTGGTCTGTTCTCATGTAGGAGTCGTAGAGGCCGTCACCGTGGCGTGCTGAGGTGGGGGGTGGGGGGGGGACACAAGAGCAAACAAATAAATTAAGGGTAAGAACCTTGGTAAGCGGGAGTAATCTCTCCCTGCAGAGACCTAATCAGGCAAAATCTCATTGATCAGCTCATCAATCATGTGGCTCTTTGCACCAGCCTGACAGCGCCAACCTCAGCAGGCCTCCCTCATCCTGTTCTCTGCAGAGCATTGCAGCAGCAGGATGCCCCCCCCGCCCCCGTTTACAGTGAAAAGGCCTTTATTAGCAGGTACACCATTGTGTTAGAGCCCAGGGCTCTGACCTGAACAGCTTAGACGGGGCTTAGGGTCCCAGATCGCTAGCGCTGCAAGTGGTATTATTGGCCTAACGGGGGTAACAGATGCCTCAGTGACGACAGCATCTTTCCATCTGTCTGTTCGTCCAAATCTTTTAAGGCCCACACCAGGTGTGCTCGGGGAGTATAAGCCAACAGATACATGGACGCAGGGGGCAGTTTCACGCTCACCTCCGCGGCCTCGAGCCAAACACCTTCGAGTAACCGCAGCTGAGGCAGGGAAGCAGGACGAGCGGATCAGAGCATAAACCTTAAACTACGGCCGGGGCGAAAGCTTGGAGCTTTGATCTGTTTGATCTGCTACTTGACTGGGTCCTGGGAGTGTTTCAGCCATACGCAGAGGGCCCATGTCCCATGTGCAGCTCCTGGACAGATTAGAGCCGCTGCTGGGATACAGACGCATTAAATCTGCACAGCAACCAGTCGCATTAGGGCCACACACACAGTAATAAGCAAGCAGGGGCTCCATTAGCATTCTGCAAACTCCTAATTACTCAGCAGGGAATCAGCAGCTTCTGTAGCCAATCCGACTTTACTGCTTCAAGAAAAACTTTCATTTTCTACGTTTTATTTCTGACTTTACTTCCATCCAATGATAGAAGTATTAGAGTCACACTAGAAAATCAGCTTGACCAGAACTAACTGGTTACCAAACAAACAAAGTGGGGGCAGCATACCTCAGTGCTACCTGGTGACCTAACAGCAACACGTCTCCCTGTTCATGAGTGAAGACGCTCAAATTAGCAAAGGACAGAAGGTTAAAAAGCTGTTAAAGTTTTAGGGAAGCGGCCAGTGAAGTAATGATCGATTATTAACTGGAGTATAGAGTAGGGCTGAACGATTAATTGCATTTGCAATAACATCGTGATAGGGTAAAATTAGATTTTTACACCGTAAAGGACGCGATTTGACGGGTCATGTGATCGGGGGTGACTTGCTAGTAAAGCAGCATGGAGGGAAAGTTGATAGTCGTATATGAGTAACCTGCTGAACAATGGTCCCAGACTCGACAAAAACTGACCCAACTGAAGGTCAACTACAGGAATACTGGAATTATTTTGGGTTTAAAAAAGTAGATGATGCGCATCATTAGGTGTCCTGCAGGAAATTGCCTTGCTATTGTTGCTACCAAACGAGGTAACATGACAAACCTGTATCAAGACTTATTATTTTTCGTATCTTATTTTATTTATTTATAGACTGTCCCGTTAAAATCTGTCAGTCTTTAAGGAGTGGAGTGTTTCATGAAACAAAAAGATGTTAATAAGGTAAAGCCACAGATTTTTTTTCCTTTACTGCTGCAATCTGTGCTTTAAATAATTCTGATTATTATGAAATAGATTTGTTTGTATGTTTAAAAAAAACATGAAACAAATTAAACTGGAAAAAATAATTGCAATATTAAGCTAAAAGAAAAAATCGCATTTAGATTATTTTCAAAAATCGTTCAGCCCCAGCACAGAGAGTCTAAAACGTGTTTAGCTGACAGAGCGACCCACTTAGAGCAGTAATTATATAAAAAAATGTATATATATATTTTTCAAACATTTTGCAATTATCCATTTTGTCTGTTCATATCCTCTATGCAGAACTTTCAGCTGGTTTAATGTCATAAAAAAATCTTCTAACCTTGGGTTATCTGATTATTAATCGGAAAAAAGAATCGACAGATAATCAATTGGCAAAATAACAATTTCAGCACTAAGCTATTTGTTAAACTTCAAGTTTTGATCACCTAAAGACCCGATAAAAAAAAAAAAAGAAACGTCATGTCCCATTTGTTTTCAGGACTTTTTGTAGTTTTATCCTGATTAGCGTTCAGCTCCGTCATGGATCACAAAGGACAGAGAATTATTGACAGATACCAATCGATCTCCTGCCTCCTATCCACATCTAAACCCTGAATGCAGCTCAAAAGGAAAAAAACATATACATGTAAAACACCTCAACATGATCATTAAGAAATATATAATGTGTAACCATCACTTTCCAATCTTAACTTTATTTCTTTGAAAGACTATAAAACATACAAAATAATAGAGAAATCATGCAGGAAAGAAAAAGAAACATAGATAAAAGCAGTACTATGCATCAACCTTTTATAGGGCAAGTTAGCGTTTTTGATCACTTGCATACCCCTTAAAAAATGGAGTCCCCCGTCCCTCAGTGAGGTCTAGAAGCACAAGATCTATATCCAGCCATTCAGCAAAGATACTGCTACATCTTATTCTGGCATATAACCAATTAGAACGGCCCTTAAATGACATATTACCTACTGCAAATTAAGATGGAAAAAAAAAAAGTTAAAAGGTAAAAAGCTAATTGAAAATTAAAAAAGTTAATAAGCCTAGTTAACAATTGTATTTAGGTTTATAAACAAAAAAATTTAAGAGCCAGTATCAGCTTTAATGCCTGTTTTCCAGACCAAAGACCTCAAACTGATGGTGAGATGGAACAGGGACCCCTAATTATATGTATTGTATAAAATAGTTATATCAAACTGGTCCTATAGTCACTCTAATAAAGATGGAGTAATGTAACCAAAGTAATTCCTCCCTGGGATTATTAGAGTATTTTTGATTCAGATTTTTTGTCGATGGGACAGGTGTTGTGAATGAAACGGTGCCCAGCTTGAAAGAGCTCCTGTGTGTCGCTAAATGTGTGCATTGATGACTGAAAGACATCTTCTGCCTCCATTTATCTGTTTGCTACAGTCTGTTGAATTCATGTTAATGTTTATTTAAAGACATTTCAATTAGTGGAAAAAATTGCAAGGGGGAATAAAAATAAATTCTAAACAACCAAAATTTTCTCGATCCCGATGCAGTACCTCTGTGGACCCCCTAGGGGTCGCGGACCCCCTGTTGAAGACCTCCACTTTAAGGTTATGTTGTATTTAAAAAAAAAAGTTTCTTTCTCTCTCAGTGTTTTTTATGAATTTTTTATAAAAGCATTTGGGCAAGTTGGCGTTTCTCATTGACATACATTTTTATCCATCAAAATATCCATTTTTTTAATCTTAAAAATGTTATAAGCTCTTGTCCTGGAATCCAACAACACTACTGGCTCAGTATTTCACTAAGTGCCCTATAAAGGGTTTTAAACCTTGTCTCCCTCACTTTGATTTAAACAAGCAAACTGGAAAATAAAACATAAAAGCTACATGGTAAATATAAAATATAAGATATCACCTCTTGGAAACAATGGAGATGAAAAAAGAAAAACTTTCAACTTTAAGTTTAATTTCACCAACTTTAAATATAAGCATATACAGCTGTCTTTCTTCTTTTTTTTTGTAGGATTAAGTTGAACCCAAATAAAACTGGGTTCAGGTATTTAGAAAGGCTGCTGTTCCTGGAAATAACTCAGATTCAGGAGTTCATTTATCATAAAAGCTGTAAGTGAGGCTGTTAAGAGTAGTAAAGTTACTTTTTGTTCTTCCTGGTACAACACTTACCATAAACTATGTACTTCCTGCTATACATAAAAATACACAAGCAGCTAACACTGTAAATGTTAACAGCAGCTAATAGTATAACTATAAAGAAATAGGGTCTTACTGGAGGGATGTTAAAGCAAATAAACAACGCTGAACTTCCTGGATTATCTTCTAAAAACACAGGGAGGGTCTCATGATTGATAAGCACAAGAAAACATGTTTACAGCCCGCATCACAGCATTGAAACTCAGGGCACTGCAAAAACAATCAGGAGTAAAAACGTCTTAAATTATGTGTATTTACCCTTAATTTGAGAAGGTAAATAAGATGATCTGCCAATGGAATTAGCATTTTTACTCTTAAAATAAGATAATTAGATAATATGCAGTTGAAATTAGACAATATAGTTGTTTTTTCTTATATTAAATGTAAATGGGACAACATTGGCAAAGTGTCTCACTTACCTCCTAATTTCTGGAACAAATGCACTTGATTTAAAAAAAAAGATTGACTTATAGATTTGGATTTTTTCCAGTTGGGCGGTTGGAAACTAGTGAATGTAATGATTAAATATCAACCACTTTAAAGATAATTAAAAGCAAAGCGAGAGAAAGAAGTGTTCCTGGTTACCTGTTGCTATCGGGCCTTCGGGTTTTCTGCTTATTATCATCATTGTTGCAATTAAAAGGTGATCCCAGCATCCAAGAAAGGGAGAAAACCCAGAAAAAAAATCCAAAAAACAACACGTCCACTCTGCTCCCACCTAGCTGACTGCTAATAGCATCTAAAAACTTTCCTGAAGAAGTGATTTCTTTGAGTTTGTCCGTTTAAGTAAAAGTTTAAATTCCAGTTTATTTTCTTTTGATGCTGTTAATGTATCGCTTTATTGGGGCTTTAATGATGATTTTCTTTAAAGCACTTTACTTTTCTGGCTAATGTTAGCTTCGGTTCAGGCTGGAAGGATCCAACAGGCGGTGGGGGTCGTCGCCCGCAGCTAGCCTGCCCAGCTAGCTCTCAGAGCGGCCACAGAAGCACCCGTCCGGACCGAAGCCGCTCCCTCCGTTGCAAACAGCCTGAGTCCGGTTGCTACAGCTGGCTCTCTGGGCCCTCGTACCCCTCGCCTTTCTCTGACAGGACAAAGAGTCGGTCCAGAGCACCATTCCCCCGGTTAGCTGACTCGGTAATTAGCAAACAGCCTCGCGCTGAACCCCCCTCTCTCAGCTCCGTCCTCGTTCTGGACACCTCCGAGCTGCTTCTCTCTTCTTCAAGAGAAGGTAGCCGAGTATCGGGGCCAGACGCACACGAGCTCCATGTCCGCAGCGGGGAAACGCGCGCTCGCTTAAAGCTTCAGCTGAAGTCAGCGCTGTTTAATCCGTCTTCAGAGGAGTAAGAGTATCTTATTCTACCCGAGCTGTGTGTTGATGCTAAGGGCGTCCTCAGCTCCGGAGTCAGCAGGGAACCAGAGGGAGGGAGGGGGCGGGGCTTAGCTAGGTAAGCTGACATCATGAGGAAAAGGCGCCCTCTAGCGTCCACTCAAGGTGCTGCAGAAGGACCGTGACCTCTGTTCAACCAAGCAGCTGCACTCTGTTCTGAAGACCTTAAAATTAACCCTTTATAGGGCAAGTTGGCGTTTTTTACCCCTTACAAATGGAAAGAGGTGTCAAGTAACAAAGTACAAATACTTCATTACTGTACTTAAGTACACATTTTAGGTATCTATACTTTACTCCATTACTAATTTTTCTTCCTACTTCTGACTTCTACTCATTACATTTTCACAAAAGTATCTGTACTTTCTATTCCTTACATTTTTAAAACAAAAGTTACTCGTTACTCTTTTAGTTTAATGTTTATAAATATTTATTTCCCGTCATGTGCGCAATCTAATGCAGATCATGGGCTCCATCCACATCTAGTGAAAACTAGTATAATTAGATGAGTCATATAACGCAAACACTCATTGGTTAGCTAAAGGAAATCATCAGAAGCAGCAGGTGTTCTTCAAACTGCAAACATGAATTGTCTATGTCATGCTACAATGGAGGATTCAGAAAAAGATGTTGAAATGTCTGAAAGGTCGGACACAGGCGAGAGCGTATCGGGGGATGGAGACCAACAAGACCTCCCTCATCCTTGGCCCTATCTCAAAGAATTTTTCAAAATAGTTGAAAATTGAGCTTTCAATTCATATAGTGGCATCAGGTTATTTTTTTAAAGGTTACTTTATACTTTTATACTTTAAGAAGTTTTTGGAGCGCATACTTTTTCACTTTTACTTGAGTAAAGAGGTCAAGTTGATACTTCAACTTTTACCAGAGTGTTTTTAAACTGCAGTATCTATACTTCTACTTAAGTAAGAAATATGTGTACTTTTGACACCACTGCAAATGGAGTCCCACCCGCCGTTGGTGAGGTCTAGAAGCACAAGATCTATATTCAGCCATTCAGCAAAGATACTGCTACATGGCTGTACAATTTATTTTTGAATTTTACCAATTAGATGAGCCCTTGAATGATATATTAAGTAGAAAAAAGTTAACAAGAAAAAAGCGTAAAAAGCTAATTGAAATTGAAAGTTAATAAGCCTAATTAACAATTATATTTAGGTTTATAAACTAAAAAATGTAAGTGTCGGTATCAGCATTAATGTCTCTAAGGCGGAGGTTCTCAACAGGGGGTCCACGACCCCTAGGGGTCCACGGAGGTACTGTATCGGGGTCGAGTAAATTTTGGTTGATTAGACTTTATTTTTATTCCCCTCTGCAATTTTTTCCACTGATTGAAATGTCTTTTTAATACACAATAGCATGAATTCAACCGACTGTAAACAGATAAATGGAGGAAGAAGATGTCTTTCAGTCATAAAGGCACACATTCAGCAACACACAGGAGCTCTTTCAAGCTGGGCACCGTTTCATTCACAACACCTGTCCCATCAACCAGGAATCAGAATCAGCAATACTTTAATAATCCCAGGGAGGAATTACTTTAGTTACATTACTCCATCTGTAATAGAATGACTTTAGGACCAGATTGATATAACACAATTTAATACAATATATATAATTGGGGGTTCCCACTCCATCTGCCCATCGCGGGGGGTCCTTGACCTGGAAAACTTTGAAGACCTCTACTCTAAGGTTATGTTGTGCCAAAAAATGTTGTCTTACTCTCAGAGTGTTTTTCATGAATTTCTTATAGAAGCACTTTTGTAGTTTTCTTAATATATTCGGCACGTTGGCTTTTCTTGCTATTACATTCACATCAATTTTTGTCATCAAAATATCCATATTCTTTGAATTTTTCAAAGGTAATAAGGTCTTTTCCTGGATTCCAATAACACTATTGGCTTGAAATTTGGATTTCAATCTGCAGTATCTATACTGCACTATTGACTCGTGAAGATGGACCGGCTGTGAAGCCGTCTACAAGAAGGGACAGAGCAGCCTGGACTTTTTAAGGATGCTTAGGTCCTTCAGTGTTTGCAGGGTGATAAAGAAGGCGAGCTCTGTTCTAGGATCTCCTCTGGAGACGATTTAAAAAAGATTTCTTCACAAAGTGAAGAACATAATTGAAAAACAGTGATCATCCTCTTCATCAGACTCTTAAACCCCAACAGAGTGTCTTTAGTAAGAGATTCTCCAAAGCTGGTGCAAAACAGACCACTACAGAAGATCTTTCCTGCCTACAACACCTGTTTAAAAAAATAGCATTAATAAAGTATTTTTGAACTGAGTTGAATTAATCAGTTTAGTTTTTCTAAAGCAAGACTCTCCACCCAAGAAGATATATAGTATAGGCGCTACAAACACTCAAATAAGAAAAAAACAAGTGAGGGTTCCTTCTCAAACATCTGTTCGCCTGTTTGTTTTCCTGTCCAGTCAGTGGAGGAGCAGCACCCCACAGCGTGTTGCACCATGTTAGCCTGCGAGGAAAATATGCGTGTACTCTGCAGCTGGCTAATGAATATAAGTTGTTTTTTCAACTTAGAGCTTCCAAGTTAAAACTTAGCATACATTTTCTAATCTAAAAGCATTAATAAAAAGATATAGCGTAAAGAAGGCTGTTATTAGCATAGATTCATATGAAGTGGACAAATACAAAAGTAAACAGTTTTTTTTCTGTAAAAGTAACTGATATTTCCGTTTTATATGTAAAACGGAAATATCATTTATACGTAAAATTAAAATGAATGTATATTAAACATGATTGGAGCGAGAATCTAAAAGAAATGTATCCATTTTTAACATCAATGTAGCGTTAAGGACTGGTTATCCTCCCGCAGCAGTGTGTCGCAGTGAGCTTGTCGCAGATATTTCTGATTTATGCCAAATATCGAAGCGTGGTCTGCGCTATGTTATTCCACGCCACAACGCAGAGGGACAGTCATAAACTAGTTGTGGGTCTAGATACGGCCGAGGCGGTGAGGAAGTGGGGGCAAGTTTGTCCGACAACGGAGGGACATGAGGGCCAAAAAGAGCGGGGGTCGAGGAGGAAAAAGGGTCCCAGCGTTCTCGCGAACTTCGCTCTTCTAGCTGGTCCATCTTCACGAGTCGTTTTCCACAATGGCGGTCAAAATAACATTTAACTCTTTATAGGGCAAGTTACCGTTTTTGATGCCTTGCATACCCCTTTCAAATGGAGTCCCCCCCCAGTCCCTCAGTGAGGTCTAGAAGCACAAGATCTATATCCAGCCATTCAACAGAGATACTGCTACATCTTCTTTGGGCATTTTACCAATTAGATGAGCCCTTGAATGATATATTACCTACTGGAAATTAAAAAGAAGAACAAAGTTGATAAATGTCAAATGTGTATCAGCATCAATGCCTCTAAGGTTATGTTTGACCAAACAAAAATGTGTTTCTTTCACTCAATTTCTTATAGAAGCAGTTTTGTTATTTTTCTTAATATATTCGGGCAAGTATGCGTTTCTTGTTATTACATTGACATTAACCCTCTCCAGGCAGATGTTGCAGATTTGCAACAGCTAAATGCCACTTAGCTAATTACTCCACATCTATACTTTAAGAGCTTTTACTACTCAGAAGTACAACTGAAGGACTTAGTTGTGCTTTTGCAACAAACAGTTTCTCTCCAGCTCACCAGATAGCACTGCTGACTCACTTTCAACATGGCTGAGTCCTTGGTGTCACTGAAACAGATTTTCTAAGCACTAATTTCATGTAAGTATCACTACCAATTTCCATGATTTTGAAATCTATACTACATAACATGAATCATGAATGTGTATAAATATGACACATGCCAATTAGTAGATTTTATCTCCTCTGGCATCTCGATTTCAATGTTGTGGATTTGCAACGTGTGCCCAAACAGGTACCCATGGATGCTACATGCTTTATCTACTAGTTTTCCTATATTTTGAGCAACAGTTTAACACAGAAACTGTTTGAGAAAACGTTTTCTCTAATTTTGTAAGAAAATTTTTGTTTTGTTAATTTTTTGTTTGTGACATTCAAATAAAGTTAACGTTCATATCAGATTCAGTCTTCAGTGTTAATTTATCACTCCAGGCCACTGTTGCAAATCTGCAACTTCCCAGAATGAATTGCATGTGAAGGTCTCTTTTAAAAAATAGTCTGAATTGTATATTACTACCCCATATGATCATTTTATCCAAATATCAAATTTTTCCTGCAACTACAACTTCATTCGAGCCTGAGAGGGTAAATTATTTCCATCAAAATATCCATATTTTGAATGTTACAAAGGTAATAAGGTCTTGTCCTGGATTCCAATAACACTAATGGCTTGAAATATGGATTTTCAAAGTATTTTCGCTGAGTGCTCTATAAAGGGTTAACAAGAAAAAACATCAACAAACATTTTTCAATAAATTATATCTCAGTTCATGCAAAATATGCAAAACTTTGTTGTTCTGTTTTTCATTTATCAGTTTAAGAGAGAAGAATAAATGCCTTTTAAGTGGGTTAATATTTAAAGCACATGTTTTTGCAGAGTTGTTAAGGCGACGCTTTGCTAATGGTCATCCAAATACCCTATGAGGAAAACTGTGGACCGAAACCTGAGAGGTCATGAAGTTCCATACCGAGGCACAAATAGTTGGAGGCGGACGGAGTGAGAGCGGCCCAGCACGAGAAGGGGTCCGAGGGCTAAATTCAGAAAGTGATAGATGGCGGCTACAGAGGGTAAAGCTAATCATAACTCTTTCTCAGAGGTGAGAGGAGGGTCCTGTCTATATCTGCTGCCATAAATACACATGCTGACACAGTTTTAGCTAGCCCTCTGGCCAACAGCCAACCTTTGCACACCGTATTGATTATTCTTAGGCAGTGATGTGTATAGAGAGAAGTGTGACAATGCCTATAAACTGATATGCTTTTTGCACTTTCCTCAAAAATAGTGAGGGATTAAAAGTGTGGCTGTGAACCCTATCTAACCCTGGCTGCTGAATTTACAGCTACAGCAAAACAGAAGGCCAGGTGCAAAGCTACCTATAGGTCCTTGTGGGGGAGGGTGTTTGGCTGTATTTGGTCATAAATCCTGTGACAGACACTGGCACCTGTGAGTTTATTGCTTTAACGCCTTATTCTGAAAGGACATTGTAAACAGAGTTCACCTTATAAAAGGGCATGAATTGTGAAAACAAAGGAGGGAGAATTAGAAAGAAGTCAAATTGGCCTCAGTGTAAAGCAAATATCCTCCTAGTCAGAAAACGGTAACAATAGCCACAAAACAAACAAGCAACTCAAACAGCAGGCAGCGGGATGTTTGATCTGCTTGTAAAGCAGAACTCCAGCTAATTCAGATATACCTGTTACCTGTTTATATGTTAATTAATGCTCTCACTGGAATACATGGAAACAAAGAAAAAAACAAATTCACCTCCACAAAAGTTCAATTGGACAAGTTATTGTTGCTGCTTATGACATTTTTTTCTGTTTATTTTTGGAGTGATTTGTGTTATTCAACTACGTTTGATGTAAGCCTTGGCCTTACAAAAATCATTTTGTAAATGAGCTACATTGTTTATCATGCTTTTCATGTTTGGGTGATTTTTTTTTCTTTGAATAATCTTTAACTTGCTTAAAGGATATTCCAAGTGTAGATTTTTTTCTTTCTTTACCAGTCTAATTGTTCTGAATGCAGAGCCACTGATTAGCAGATGTGAGTTAGATGGACCATATATTTTCCAGTAAAATGAACACTTTCTTGATTAAAAATGAATACATTTGATTAAGTTGAACCTATGACCTTTAACGTCTATCTAAACATCTACAGCTTCCACTGCTTAATAGCGTTTGAGTAATTAGATGATTTAATGTGAGATCAGCTGGTGATCGTATGAAGATGCACTGTTTTCTTTGTTTTCTAACTAAGCCCCTTAAAAAAAAAAACGCAAAATAGCAGAAATGCAGCATGTGGAAGGTGTATGATTAAATAAGTTACTTTAGACATTGACACTAAATTAGACATATAAAGTAGTATATAAATAATGTTCTGCATGTGTTAAATTAGCAATTTCACTGGAATTTCTGCATTAAAATAAACCAAATGTCTTTAATGCTACTAATTAAGGTGATATTTCGCCATCTGCTGGTGGCTCAGAGCAACACACTTTGGCTCCTAAACCGCTCTGTTCACTTTATTGATCTATTTAGTGATGCTTCACTGTCTCCTGGCCAACAAAAAATAAAGATACTTACATTAAACTGGGATTTATTTTGTTTGTGTGTGATTTTTTTTACCCTTAATAAGAGAAACCCCTGCGTAGGCAAACACATAAGAGCATTTCAATAAAGAGCTTAGTCTTTTATTTCATTTAAATTTCTGTACAGGTCTAGTCACATATTTATACAGAGTTTTACAAGTAAAATAAATTGCAAAAATAAAGCGACACGTTTACATAATTTCACATGGGATGGTGGTTAACAATGAAATAAATAAAACACACACATACACATAAACTCCCACGTGGGAGTATTTTTGAAACCAGGAAAAGATCAAAACCAAACCGAAAAAAAAACCTAATAAAAATGAACGCATAGCACCACTGCAGAGACATAATTGCACACATGCAGAGGGACCTGCACATGTAACTCAATCAGGCACCTGTACATGTGCTGAAACCCATGCTATGGGTAGAAGACGTGACACAAAAGGCACTGCCAGCAGGAACAGCTCGGGGAGGTGAGGATGGTGACACACAGGTGTGGGCTTTAGAGAGAAGCGTGTCCTCGTGGACATCGGACCAGACTTATCCGCGGATTATAATGAACATAAGAATGAGAAGCGGTGGAATAAATCCTGTCTACCCAGGATGACCGCAGACAAACACCAGCAGGTAGGAATGATGCAAAAAATGAACTCATATCAGCCAATAACTCTTCTTTTTTCTTTTTTCCCCCAGTATCTTCACAATTTATATGGACTGCAAACAAATCAAAGCCGTTATTATGAATCTTACAATGCATGCCAGCCTCAGAGGTTTGGCCTGGATCAACATGTGCAAAAAAAGCTGATTGAGATGTTATTTGTTTACATACATCACCTCCAATCTAAACGAGATCCTCTCAGTAAAAAACTGTCAGTGTAAGCATCGCTGTAAACGTCCTCTTACGTTCAAATTCATCCCCACACAGCAAAAACAAGAAGTTTCTTCACAACTTAAAGGGTTCTGAGCTGCCTCTCTTAGCGTCGCACCAGGGTTGGGGCTCATGCATTCTTAGTTTTGGATTTAGGCAGCAATAAAGAAAAACAAAAACATGTGTGGTGGAAAAAAAAAAAACAACCAAAAAAATATCTTTTCATGTATGAGCCAGGATGGAACTTATAAACATAGTGAGGGCACGCTGGTGGCAGCGTCATGCTGCGGGGGGTACGGTTATCTGTTGCATTTTTTCTGCTTTAATCTGGGAAGACAATAACAAAAAAAAAGGAGATCTGATGACATCATCAGACGTGTTTTAGGTATGATTGTCCTGCGGCTCCAGCTCGATGCGGCTAAAAGCAACCATGCCTTCTGTTTTATTCCTATGAGCTGATGGACTCATGCATAAGTAACACTTGCAGTAGCAGCAGCAGTAGTTGTAGCAGGAGAGATGGGAAACTTAAAAAAACAACAAAAACACATCAGTCATTGATGGGATCCGAAGTGGGAGCAGCCTCAGATCTTCCTTGGCAGGGTGATCCCGTTCTCTGTGGGGAAAGAGAGCCTGCATGCGACCTGAGAGGGAGTACGTGGATCTCTCTGTCTGAGCGCTTGTCCATGAAGAGTCCGGAGTTCAGTTCAGCTCAGGCTCCGCTCCCTGGACTGAGATCCCAGCGCGTGTCCTGGAGGTCCGGCTTGGAGACATCATGGACCGTGTGTTTGAAGCGCCTGCTGGAGCTTCTGTCGGTAAACGCTGTATTTCTGCTGCACGGCTCGAACGCGCTCCGCCTCCTCTTTCTCCAGGATGACCAGGAAGTTTTGCAGCTCAGGGACAGAGAAGGCGTGCCACTGAGGGACAGGAGGGGAAATGTTAGCTCACCTTCACTCTACTGTTTGGTTGTTTTTTTGGCACACATAAATCTCCTGATGGGTTCATAAATGTCATATAATCCTGAACGTGCATGTAGAGAGACGAAGCAGGGATAGGAGGTAGCAAATTAATTCATAGTCCTTACACAGGGTTTATACAGGAATGATTAACTCTAATTTAATGGTTTTTAAAGCTCTTAGAAATAATTTTAATGCCATCAACAAGTACTCATGACTCTCACTTTTCACGTTATGATAGGCTATATGTTTACATTATTTATTGGCTGCATCTAAAAATATCAAAGATATTTTCAATTTAAACATAATAATACATCAAATCAATTCAGTTCAGTCTGTCAAATAAGCTGCCTGTAGTGTCATTAAATGTCCAGCAGGTGTTAGTATTCTGTGAGACAGTATCAATGCAGTTTGGTCCCAAATTCCTCGTTTTCCACTTTTGTTGAACGTTGCATTTTCAATTCTCTAGCTTTTTCTCCGCCTCAAGCTTCTTTCCCAAACAGGCTTTACGATCAACCAGAAGGAGTTCCGCGCAAACACATAGAACATGTTATATCTGATATTATATATAGGACAAAATTGTTTCTATAAAATTTTTTTTTTTAAGTAAAGCATTTTAAATGCCACTATAATCACATTTAATATATATATATATATATATATATATATATATATATATATATATATATATATATATATATATATATATATATATATATATATATAAATATATATATATATATAATGCCAATTAAGGTCTTAATAAAAAAAATAAATAAATAATTGAATGACTTTTAATGACCCGCGGAAACCCAGTTACACTTCACCACGTTTCAGTTTACATTTGACTTTAAAACTTTAAACTTGATTGTATCTCATTAGCATCTTATATCGTAGATCAAACCAAATTTGTGGATCTTTTCTCTTCCAACTGTTACTACCCTATTTTTGGTGTTGGTCCATAATTGGTCTGCAACTTACAACTCTTTGGTTTTTTTGGCACTAGTGGCTCGTTTTTTTGACAGTAGGCTGACAGGAAAGAGGGAATGAGAGAGGGGGGAGAGACATGGCAAAGGACCACAGGCCGGATTCGAAACCAGGTCGGCCGGATCGAGGGTTAAGGCCTCTGTACACAGGTCATGCGCACTAACCACTGCTCCACCTATAGAACAATATAATAATACAATATATTAAATACTATAGATATAATAAATATCCTAAAGGCACCAGTAATTAGTAACTAATTGCAGTTTTCTCTTTGATCATTGGTCATAAAACAGCCTGCCATGCTGTTTCTAATTTAGATCAGTTTTTTTAAAATAACATTTCTTATGTTGGTTCTATCTGTGCTTCTATGTTTCTTTTTCTATGTCTGCTTCTGTCTCCTTGAACCCCAGTCGGCCTCAGCAGATGGCCGCTCACACCGAGCCTGTTTCTGCTGGAGGTTTCTTCCTGTTAAAAGGGAGTTTTTCCTCTCCACTGTCACTACAAGCATGGTTAGTGTGAGGGATTGCATTCGAGTCAATGAGGCCCCGTCCACACGAAGTCAAACCCTGGCCTAAACGCACACATTTTTCACCAAACCAGCCTCTCATCCATACGAAGCCGGCGTTTCGGGGGTCTGTAAACGATCTTTTTTTTATTACGCCTTCAGAGTGGGAAGATTTTGAAACGGCGTTTTCGCGTTTCCATCTTTACGCTTTAACCGCATTTTTTTTTCTTACACGCATGCGTCATAGCATCGCCTCTAAACACGCATGCGCAGTATCACAACAACAATGGCGCCGTACTGTGTTGAATGGTTGCTGCTAATGCTACTCACCCTGCTGTCGGGCTTACAACAGAATCTTCTTCTTCTGGAATATCTCCAGGAAGAACAGAGCAATATCGACCACATAGTTCATCACCTCAATTTGACTGAACCACGAAAATGGACCCTCAGGGCAACCATGTATAAATATTAGTGCGCATGCCCAACATTTCGTCGCTTATTTTTGCTTTGGCACCACAGCGCCACTTACAGGCCTGGCATACATTTTGCAGCGTTTTTTCATGCATTCGTGTGGACGATCACATTTATTTTACGTCTCCGTCTTTACGACAAACGTTCTGGAAAATATCAGCGTTTCGTGTTCGTTTTGACTTTGTGTGGACGGGGCCTGAGTCGATGCAATCAACTGTTTTTCTTTAGATAGAAAACTTTGAATCAATTGACTGGATGATCTGGTTGAACTGTAAAGTGCCTTGAGATGACATGTGTTGTGAATTGGCGCTATAGAATAAAACTGAATTGAACTGAAATAAAACGTTAGATGACAATGACAACACATTTCCTAAATTATAAAAAAAAAAATATGTTGTCTTTGTTCAAAAGGTTTATATTAGGAAAGAAGATTAGCTCCAATGAAAAGCAAAATCAGGACATCATTCTTCTCTTTTAGCGACCCAAATACTCTAAAAAAGTTTTATTTACCTGAAATAGGAAGAGAACTGGCTCTTTGGATTGTAAAAAGTTGTATAAAGTTGAAGACCCGCAACGTTTTTCAAAAATAATACGTCCACGGAGCGACTAGAATGGAGCAGAATATAAGTGTTAATTTTGCATTTTATTTTATCCAAAACAAAAACTTAACTAATACCAGCGAAATAATAAAAACATGTTTTAGGAGCAGAAGTTAATGATTTTCATATCAGTCTCTAAAAGTGAAGGAAATCAGATCCAAGGTCTATTTCTCTTGTTATTCTGTTACAAACAATGTTGTTTGTTCCTCCATAAACAGTTGAATCCAGCAACCAACATCTGCTTCTATAGGTACGTTTTATTTTGCTGGACTGAGGGTATAAATGTCTCATCGGGTTCTAAATGTTGCAACCTCGATCTACAACAAACAATCCTAATAAAGCATTAAAAACAACCTAGAAATAATAATAAGAAAAGCTGCTGTTGCTCAGTGTGATATCCAGTGAGTCTCACCTCCACCTCTCCTGTCTCGTTTTCCTTCAGAACGAAGGTGAGCTGATCCGCATCAGGTCCTGCTATCAGCCTTAGGACGAGAGGATGCTCCGACAGAGGGAGCTTCTGGAACAGATCTGCACCGGAAACACAAAACAAAACCATGAGCCAAACGTCCTGCAGCACAAAAAAGATCCCCAGAAGTCTCTTTGTTTTCTTTCCCCCTCACCCTGTCCGTCTCTGTGCGTCTGCCTGTACAAGGCGAACTTGCGAGGATCGTCCAGCACCATGAACTTCTTCAGCAGGCCCTGTATCACCTCGCCGGTGGTGGTCAGAGAGCTGATGTGGATCTGCTTCACACAGTCGCTCGGTAGGTAGAAGGACGTCCTCTTCTCCGTCTGCTGCCCCTTTTCTCCGCCCTGCTCTTCTGACGGGCCGCGCCCCCGGTTGGCCTCCACTGTGACGGGTCGACTGAGCCGCAGGTGGACCTTGATGAAGCCTGTGAAAGATCCGTCTGCAGCCTGGAGAAAGTCATGGAGAAGGCAGAGAAAACAGAGTAGGTTCCTTTAGTAGAGCTCGGCTGTTAGTCACATTTTTTATTTTAAAGGGGTCATAGAATGCAAAACCAAGTTTCCATTGTCATAGATGAATAACAATAATTCAGTTGGTGAAATTGAAGTCCAGAGAAGTTCAAACCCAATCGACACCTCCTTTCTCCGCAAATCTCACAATTCTAAACTTCCACCATAAAACGGGCGAATCCATGGAGGGTATGACGGGTCGACTGCTGGGCCGCTGACTGGACCGGACCTCAGCCTACGGAGGGGGGCTGAGGCCGGTGTCCAGGCTACCATCACCGGGTTGGGTTCGGTCGCTCCTTCCCCCACCGGCTCCCTGCCCCCGTCTGCCGGAGTTCCCGGACCAGCCCCGGAGCTGACGGCTCGGTTCTGTTGCACTGTAGTCGACTAAACTTCCAGACGATTTTGAAATTCCCTTCGGACATTTTTTTAGGTATAGAAAGTAGGACATGTCCGGGAAAAAGAGGACGTCTGGTCACCCTACCATATCAACAATTTGATGTTTCAGTGAGTGAGAGCTTGTTGCTACGATGCGTCTTTGCTCATCAGCTTCGCTCGTTGTAAACCAACCAATCAGAGCACAGCTCATCTAAATATTCATGAGCATACCATAAAAGGAAGGAAACCTGTCGTTTCATTCTAGGGCTTTTAACCAGGCTTGCATTAGGGCTCATAGAACAGCAAATATGCCATTTTCAGCCCAACCAATTTTACACACCCTATTAGAGACCTTAAGGACCAGCACCAAATACCCTATAGAATCATTCTATGACTCCTTTTTTATAAAAAATCCATCCCCTCCTTGGGCTTCCAAAGCTCAGAGTGAATCCAGTTCTTAGATGTGTCCTCATAACTGATACAGCAGCTCTCAGTGCTTCGCCACCAGCTTCTAACACTTGGCCTGTCATACGTTTGAGTGAAACACGATTATTTTAAAGCCTGAAATTCTTTGCCATTTAACTTAAGGTCCCCCCAAAGAGCAGATGATAGAAATAAAAGCTAGTTTTTTTATTTTTCACCATGAAACAGACTTATTTATTAATTCTTTTTTTTAATTAATTTTTTTTAACAGTGTCCTGTCTGGCAATGTGGCAATAACAATAATTGTCTTGATGCCAAAAAGAGCCCAACAGACACATGTCTGGTTTTCTGATGTAGGATTTAATGTAGAGGACTGAAGTTTTCCTCGTCTTTACCAGGAACTCTATAACTTCTCAGCCTTCTGGTCCAAACTGGTCTGCTGTCGGATATAAAACTACTGGGAGGCTGTTTAACTTAGAGACAGAGCACTACCGCTACACTCTCTCCTGGTGGTTAGTTATACAGCATCACTTTAAATATAAAAAGTGTAAAAAAAAATCATCATATTTCAAGTGAGAAATTTTATTTATTAGATGGAGAAAAAAAAAATTTAAAAAATGCAAAATTAACCTAAATTTATAAACAAGAATGATTTTATCTTATGGGACACTAATAACATTAGGATTCAGCTTCAGTGTTTAGTTAAATTAAATTCACTTTAATTAATTAGATAGAGTCTTATCAACGAAAACATTCTGCTGTCCAACTAGATTTTTTTAAATGTTTTTTTTAGTTAGGGAAATAGGTTGCAAAGATTTGACCATGTTAGGGAGTTCACTAAACCTAAATGATGGAAACCTGAGAGAGAAACCACTTTGATCTCCTAAACCCTGAGAGAATGATGATCCAGTCATCCTAAACTGGAGCCACTTTTCCTCATTTAGACGCTGCTCGCATCGAAACACGGTGGTGGCAGTATTATGCTCTGGGTTTACTTTTATTCAGGGTGAAGATTGTTTAAAGTGAGTCTAATTGATCCAATTCCAACCACTGAATGACCTCAATAGCAGAAAATAACACTTTGAAAATGGCCTAGTCAAAGCTGAGTTATGATCTCTTTTGTGTGAACTCACCAGGTTCATGCCATTTTCTGACACTTGAGCGTTGTAGGACTCTATCTTGACCCGCACCTCTTCCTCCGACAGCTGCTTAGCACCTCCCTCCTCTTCCTCCTTTGCTTCATTTTGCTGGAAAGAGAAAAATCAGTATCAGCAAATTCAATGCTGTCTCTTTGCCAGAAGATGGCGCTGCTTTAGTACTTTCAGTTGAACAAATACATCAAAAAAGTGAATGACAAACTTTTTAACCCTTACGTTTTTAACGAAGGAGTCTGCTGGTGCATTTAGTGATACAGAGACCAAACTAAAAAAGGGGGAGATGTTGTAATAGAAAATCTACTTCCTTGGCTCCTCTGCAGGGACATAAAACCATGCTCAAGCTGTGGAGTCAAGAAATCTTATGAATGGTGCTTTAGAACCAGCTAGCATGATGCCATGAAATGAAGATGTGGATGGGGGAGTCACAGAGGGGGAGACTCTGAAAGAGGGGTGAGGAATGATGGAAGAAAGGCTGCTGAGCAAGCCTTAGCAACACATAGTTTGACTGAGTTATTTATAGTACGCCGGGATCCATCCTCTCTATCTCACTACAGCTTCCTTCCCCCCTCCTTCTCTCTCTTTTCCTCTTCTACAGTTCGTTTGCATTTTCTGAGGCAGTTGGAGGGGGGGGCAAACATTACTGGACGAGTGAAGGGTGATGAGGTCACAGTTACAGGGGGAGTTTGCGCTTTTTAACATGAATCCTGGAGGACAGTAGAGCCAGAAGAGCTCCGAGGATCAGAGGGAAGGAAGTCGAAGGATCGTCTCTTTAGTTTGGTTCTGAAATATCTGAACTGGATGACATGTTGAAGCATCGATCTAAACAAACCCTTCAACCTCTTCTCATTTCACTAGAAGGAGCTCAACCAGAGTGGGCCAGTGATACGTTAAAGGAAAACAATAAATCTGCCAATAAAAGCCACACCAGTTCAGCTCCAGTGTTTATGTGATTATTCTGAATGCGCCAAGCCTAGAACTATTCACTTTTAAAATCACAGTTATTTAAACACTATGAAATGAGATTGATTTCTAAATGGATTAGAAATCTTTGAAAAAAAAACTGGTTTCAGTTACATTTTATTAAAAATGTGCACCTTACTTCAACAGTGACCAATTTAAAAACCTGAATTAGAATTACGGCAGTCTATCCCTCTCTGCTGGGCAGCCCTCTGTTTTCCTAAAGGTAGAGTTAACGTTTATCTTTGATGATGAGCTCCAAGCGTTTGAGAAGTGGAAGGCCTCCTCACCATGCCCCTAATCTTTACAGTAGTATCTACTACAGCAGACCTTCTACAATGGCTCTAACTTCAGCTAAAACGATAGAGAACCGGTTACTGCTTTTAAACATAAAGTGGTAAACATTATTCTTGCAAGGTGTCTTTACCAGCTGATATTAGCTTTAAAAATAAACATTGGATATTAGGAGAGGCCATGTTTATTTGAAAAGGAAGTGGGAATTTTGCCTGCAGTGCCAGTGACTTTATCCTGAAGAGATGCTTAAGTAAAAATATTGGGGTAGTGAATATTTTTTGACATTTTTTTTTTTATTTATACACCAGTAATTCATTGATCCAGTAGTTCGTTCTGGTTGCATTTTAAGTTTTTCTGACAGATTGCCGTCTCCTGCTGATGTATCTTTGGTCATTCTTGTGTTTTTGCTCAGTTTATGATCAAATAAACCTTAACAGAGGTGTGATGCTAAGGGGGCAAACAAGGGAGAAATAGGGATAAGCTAGTTAGCATAGATATTAATGAAGTAAAGCCTAAAGGTTAGGGTTATAAATAAAACTAAAATAAATTAATATTTTAAAAAAATGTTGATTCCCAGAGGCATAAGACTGAAATACCGCAGGGTTTGTTCATTGAATGAAAATGCTTCAGCCAACTGCTTTTTAACATTTATTTACTGAAATATTTCTCACCTTGATGCTGTGTCCCTGTTTGTGTTTGATAGGAATGGGAATGTTTTTTCCTTAAAGTTCCAATAGGAGGTTTTGAGAAGGATTGACTAGAACTGAGTCGCTGTAGATCAGTTTCTTTAATTAATTAGTAATTAATCGGCTGGTTATCAACCACGCTGAGCTGTCACTTTGTAAGACGGTCAGGCTCCACTAAGTAGTCGCATATTCCCACCATCTGGCTTTCCCGTAGTTCTATGGAACTACCAGCAGGTGGCAAAACATCTGTTTAGCTCACCCGGCCCAGTGCTGGAATTCTATTTAGGCTCAAAAACCACTATTTAAATACCATCAGGACAGCTGGAACTGCTATTTGCATTAACTGCACAGGAGGGAAGGAATTAAATTGTTTCTATTAGGAAAAAAAAAAAAAAAAAAAAAAAAAAAAAATATATATATATATATATATATATATATATATATATATATATATATATATATATATATATATATATTAGGGCTGTGCAAAATAATCGTCATGATGATGCATCGTGATTCTAATTTTCGTGATCTACTGCATCGATTCTTGACGCCAAGTAACGATTATTAATTTAAAAAAATGAGTAAATAAAATTGCATGAATGGTTGGTGAACATCAGCCAAAAACAAGTGTAATACAACTTCCAGTCCAGTAGATGTCGCTGCAAATGTGTTGACGCACAAGCATTTCCAGCCGCAGGATACTGTGCCTAGCCATTCAAAAACAAAACATGGAGGAGAAAATATTGCAATGCATCGCAATAATTCAAGTATCGTGATGCGTCGTGATAGAATCGCATCGTGGCCTGTGAATCGTGATATATATATATGTATATATACAGCTGTGCTTGTATGCACCCTGTGTGCACCCTCCCATTAAATAAAATCATAAAGTCACTTTTGTCATTGTCTTGAATGGAAGTTATGAAAACTTTCAGGCAGAACAATAATTAAAATTATCACTGATATGAGTATTTTTTCCCATTTTTTGTTGAATAAATGATCTGAACTCCACAAAAGAATGACTCTAAAGGTAGTATTGTTTCTTTTTGATCAATTTTAATTTGCATTACAATAAAAACTCCCTCACATCACACAGATATTAGCATCCTGTTGATGAAAATAAATCTAATCTTTTTGACAAAAAAACTATCTTTTTCTAAAGAAAAAAATATTTCTTTTTTTTTTTCATCTGGGCAACTTTTGCCGTTTCATTTAGCTGATTTAAAAGTAAAGGTTGCAGATCAATTTAAACCCTCAATTTTCTAGCAGTGATAATCATTTTAGGATCATCTGAGTGTTTTTATGTAGCAATGGGCTCTATGCACAGCTCCACTATTTCCTGAATTTAAGGCAGCTCCTTTGTTTCCTGTCTTTCATTACTGGACGAACTGATTAATCCAGGTGTGTCTGGCCAGTTACTTAGGTCATACACACCTGGATTAATTAGTGCATCCAATCATGAAAGACAGGAAGCAAAGGAGCCTCCTGAAGTTCAGGAAGTGGTGGAGTTGTGCATAGAGCCTATTAAGACAATATTTACTTGATTAACAAAAAAGCGGCAACATCCGTTCCCGCTGTAAATCTCAGCAAACAACGTTTTAATTTCCAACCAAAATATGTGTTTAACGCAGACTATAGTTTCATTGTGAATTAAACATTCAGTTTCGCATTCAGCATATTTCCCTGTTTTGGGGAAACAAATACGGCTCATCATGATGAACAAACCAAAGTGACCATGGTGGCGGCATCATGTTGAGGAGGATGCAGATACCGGACACTGGTCACAAAAGACTAAATAGAGGAAAATCCTGCAAGCATCACTTGTAGATTCTTTTTTTAGATGTTTCCTATCTAGTCAGACTAAACCTGCATACGTTTCACTCTCCAGATTTACAAAAAAAACATTTCCTCTCCACTCCATGATTAGGTTGTACTTTGTGTCAGTCAATCACAAACAACCCCAACAAACTGTATAGGGTTATGGTTTTAATGTGATGAAAGATTAAAGGTGGAACTGAATTGAATACCTCTGTGAGTCACCATAATGTTAACTGTTTAAAATACACCAACTCCAAACTTCTTTCATATTTTTCACAATAAAGGCCACAAGCTGGACCAATTTAAAGCGAGCGCTGAGAGCTCCATGTTTGGGTTAGGGTGGGGTGGTTGTTGTACGAAGGAGTCGACCAGAATTCCTCACAAACTGAAAGGAGCCTTGCAGGAATTCCTGCGTTTGTATGAGAGTTTCTAAATGTGATCGAGGCCGTGGCCTGCCCTCCCTTCTCTGCATACCAGTGAGAGTGATGGGAGCACAATGGAGCAGGACTGTGTGGGTGTAGCCGAGACTCCTGCTCAGCTACCCAGCTGGAGAGGGTCTTCTGGGAGCCGATGACCGAGAGCGCTCAGAGGCAGAGAGGAGCTCCACTACATTTACAGTAATAAAGAGGAAATATGAAAAAATCTCTCTTAACAAACTGTTTCAACAATTTGCTATCTGATTGGTTAAAGCTTCAAGATAACCATCATTAGCTATAGTCACATTAAGACTGCAGACTGATTTTACTGGATAGACTATCACAAATTGCATAGTTTGTTATTTTTATTATTAAAATCTAAAAGTTGGAGCATGCATTTTATTTACACAGTCCCATATAAACTGAAACCTCCTAAATTACGTTTAATAGAACGTTTTTCCTACCATATTAGGGTAAAAAGAAAACAGATTTCCGCACTTAAGGTGGGATCAAACGTAGAATAAAGATTGCTACACGAGATGACATGGCAAACACGGATAAGGAGTTCTGGAAATGAATTTCGTTCCATTGTTGTTGCAAGAAAAGAAAAAGTTTGTAAAATGGAAAAAAAGATAATAATAAAATCCAGAAATAAATTTTCAAAGATTTCTTAAAAAAAAAAAAAAAAGGTTTAGATTAACTGCTTTTTAAATGACTTTTTCATATCTTATTTTTCAAATTCATGAAAATTAAATTAATATTTTTTTGCAGATTTTATTTTTTAATTTTTTTGAAGATTTGATATTTTCAACCTTTTTTATATTTCTTTTTATTTCTGTTTTCCAGATTGAGTTTTACGAATTCCAAATGTGAATAAAAATTCAATTAGTAAAATTATATAAAAAAAAAAAAAGGAAAGAAGGTTTCAAAAAAAAAAAACTTAAAAGAAATTGAAAAACAGACTTGGAATTCACATTTCTTTGCTTGCAAAAACAATGAAACTAAATCCACTTCATGGAAATCAGTTTATTATTTTTTTTTTTTATTAAAGTAGATTTTTTTAAATTTTGAAATCAAAGTGTTTTCCTCGAGATTTTCATTGTTTCCAAGGCCTTAAAAGCTTTTATCCTGAGTCAGTTGTCGCACAGATTTACTGTTGCTGTTGAGTGGTAAAGTGCTTCATTCTGTTTGCATGCATGAATCTGTCTACAAACTGTAACTCTCTTAAGCCGGGCAAACACTGTGCGATATTTTCAAGTAATGCACTTAGCTACAGCTCAAACTGTACGATGAAACTGCAGGGTTTAAAAGTTTACAGCTCATGATGCATGTTCTCACACTGTGCGGCCCGACACTTTGATGTGACCTCATGACAGCCGACTGAATTTCAAACATGCTGTATTTTCACCCGACCGTACGATTCCTGATCGGGAGGTGGTCGTGAGAGGCCGATCGCCTCTCGTTACCCTATGTACCTTACATGACGAACGATCAGGCTGAAAGTCGGCCCAATTTAAAAATTCTCGCACAACTGGAGAATCGTCCTGAAAAAGGAAAAAATAAAAAATCGTACAGTGTATGCCAAGCTTTACCTTCTGTATGTTGACAAACAAACTTTTCAGCTGAATAGCGCCACCTAAAGACCTGGAGTGAGAAAGTTAACGTCTTACTCTTGTAATGTAACCAAAATCAAATGCCTCAGAGATCCAATTGAAGATCACATCGTTTCAAATCTTTTTCCTAAATTCTTCTATTGTATGTATTCTATTGACCTATCAAAGTTTTGATCTAGAGTTTTAATCTAATCCCAAGCTTTGGTTAATGTTCTGTGTTTACTTGATGGTCAATAGTTTTGCCAATAAAGGTCTGGCAAACAAAAAAAAAAAAAAGTCAGAGTTAGGACTCTTTATGAAATTCCCATTTTGAGGGTCTCATCTGCCATTGATTGTAAACATGGCGCCCCACCATAACACTCATACTACAAATACAATTGTCCAGTCCTTGCACATACCTACCCAGCACCCTAACAGCACACCATCCCCTATGATGAAACATGGTAGTGGCAGGATCATGCTGTGGGAAGCTATATAATAAACAGCTGTTGCGGAACTGGAGGGCTCCTTCAGTGACAGACTGCTGCATCTTAAATGCACCAGGGAGCGTTATCACAGATCCTTCCTCCCAGCAGCTGGAAGACTCTATAACCACCACTGTTCCCAACAACCTCAATGAGTTGCTACATTCATACAGATTTTTGCAATTTCTGTCTTAGTCAGTTAAATAACATGCCATCTCTGATGTTTCTGCTATTTTACACCAATCTATTAAAAAATGTCCATAGCTGTTTATTGCTTATTTATTCTCCAGATAGAGAATTTTTATAAAGTAAAAACACTGTAAAGTATTTTGTTTTTTTTTCTTAACTCTGTCATTTATTCTGTTATTTTTATACACATTTTTAAGGCCCACTTTGTGTGACCACTTTTGCTGCTGCTTTAACACCACAATTTCCCCATTGTGGGACAATAAATGGATATTCTGTTGTATTATATACTTTACATCCATCTGTCACATACAATTCCTTTATAAAACTCACATTTTTGATTGTAAGGAGACAACATCAAAACGTGAATATACTGTAAAATAAACTGTGTTGAAAACAGTTTGTTTTGTCAATCTCTTGTAAAAACCAATACATGTTTTAGAGTGACCTGCTTTTACGATTTTCCTCATTTATTGGTTGCATTTAAAGTTTAGTTTTCTGTTTAAACTCAGAGAACCCGGCATGGAGCTTCAAGGACCCAGATATGAGAGATGCACAACCTCAGGGAGTGACACGAGTCATGCTTGATCTGCCTGTTACTCTGATGGGAGGACACAGGGGAGGTCGCCATGGCTTGAAATGTCAGCGTTGAAGCAAACTTTGTGTTTCCGTCAACCAGAGCGGCTGCTTCTTAACCTTATTCAATGCCCAATCAAGCATCTGAGTTTCCGTCCGTGAAACGATTGCAGGTCCGTGCTTGCAACGATTGTATCAGCAGAAGAGGTTTGCACGAACACAAACGCACACTCTCAGGCGGAGATTCAGTTTCACAGCTCTGAGGTCGTCGCTCACATCAGCCGTCGTTAAAGTAGAAGATAGAAAACAGTGTCTCCATTACTTCAGAGTACGCTGACTTTGTTTCCTGGGATTGAAACCTGATCATTTTCTTTAGAGGAAAAGACATTTTTAGCTCTGAATATAAAGATAATTTATGAAACTACCTTTCAATATAATTTAAATTGCTAATCCTTCTAGAAATGTCTCCAAAAAGGATGCTCCAAAGGTTTGAGCTGTCAAACATTCTTCTTTGCAATGTAGCTCAGGATCAATTTTCAAGTCCTGCATAGAATTTCAACTGTGTTGAGGACTGGCCTTTGACTAGGCCATTTTTAAACCTAATTATGCATGCTTTACAGTAGCAGCCATTCAAAATGGCCCCTCCCAGTCAAACGGCAGCCGAATGGTAGCCCACTTCCCTGCAACTCCAAGCGAAATCCCCTCCAACTATCAGCCACTGGAGTGACCTCCTCTTGCATATTTTTTACTCTGACTCCACCCTTTCACTGAAATACAGGGTCTGACCAGGAAATTATGCTTCTTTTTAGATCTTAATGTCCACAAATCATGACTTAAATATGTTTTAGTACAAATATTGATGTTTAAAAAGGAATTGTAGGGGACCAGCCAAGGGCTTATCAAGGAAAGTCGGGAAATTTCAAATGGCTACTACTGTAATTCCTCTGCAGCCTGTATTGAGCTTAACTCACTTGCAATCTTGAAGGAAAATGGATGCTTTGTATATTATCACTTGATGGATCATAAAACATACACAAAATCACTAAAAGTGTGCAGCGACATTCAAATTACGGAATTAAACTGCTAAAAACGTCACTATGGTTTCCGGCTGATCAGCAGCATGCAGACGTTTTTAAATAAGCAACCCCAAGCTGACATAAATTAGGTGCCTCATGCCTAAAATCAAAGGATTATCGCAGGACGCCATGCTGGTCTTTTTGTCCCTCTTTTTCATATTCAAATACAGATAAGGATGCGGTCAGTTGTTGTTCACCGTGAAAGAAGCCCCTCCTTTACATGTTTCTCTTACTAGAGTTTTTTTTTTTTTTATGACATCCATCGCTGCGCTGTCTGTCTCTGGATCTGCGGTACCAAGCCTCCACGCTGACAGATCTGAGACGTCTGTGTCAGCATGGCAGCAACCCCGACTCTGAACAGCTGGTGAATTATTCAGAGAGCAAACCTTCAGAAACCAAAGGGAGGCCAGCGTGAGGTCAGCAGGAGGCGGCCTGAGGAGTTCACTCATTAAAGCAACCGTCCATGTCCCCCCCATCCAGTAACCAGGCGTAAAGTGGCTCCAGAGCAAAGCAGAGTGAACATTTCTAAGAAAATGCAAACGGTGCCAATACAAAACCCCAAGAGTTGCTATGGTAACTACAAAGCACTGGTAAGTAGTCTGCACCTTGTACACACAGACACAAACTAAAAGCGTAAAGCTTCGCACGAGGCGTTTCTACAGAAACCTCTCCCGCTCACAGTGGAGAGGAAGCCATTATGGCCGCTGCGTTCAGATCATTAACATCTCTGCAAACACATTAAATCCGCCAGCTGGGTTGGATGGAAGTGATGAAGCAGCAGCGGCGGCGGCGCTCTGGTTTCAGCTCTCAGTGGTTCTGATGATAGAGGAGGGGTTTAAAATGGATTTTTAAGGTTCCTCATAGTTACACAATGCAGATGTGTGAAAGTAACTCCCCTCCTATACTCTCAGGTTTGCACACACACACACACCTAGAGGCCCTATTGAACAACACCACTTCCTCTCCAGACTTCTGCTTTCAGGCTGTATATTTTTTGTCATCTAAATGGCCGTTGTTTTTGCTTCCTGCTGTACTGAATCAAACCATGGCTTTTATCCATCAAAGGGGCCCCCCCTTCCCTCTTTTTATCAGGATCTGGGAGAGAGAGAGACGATGCAGACCTGTACCTTCGGTGCATGCTTGGGCTTGCGGAAGAACGAGGTCTTGGCGGTGAAGAAAGTGAAGTCCTCGCTTTCGTCGTCCAGGCTGCAGTACCCGCTGCTCATGCTGTTACTGCTGGTCATGGAGGGGGTCAGCACCGTACTGACGGTCATGGAGAGGTCTTTTCCAGAACAGCGGAGCGTCACACCGGCGGCTCAGGAGGAAAGCGTTTGGGTCGTCTCAAAGTGCTCAGCCGCAGTCAGAGTCCAGAGGCATCTGAACGTCCTTGGCTCATCCAGAAGAAGCAGAGCTCCTCCGACGATGCATCCGACTCAAACGGCTGAATGAAAACAGGTGAGTTCGGTTTGGATTCCGGCACCCTCACTGCTACCGGAGAACAGGACCAGGAAATACGAGAGCGAGCACAGACGTGTCACTTCCTCCTTTTCAAGCCTGTGTTCGAGAAAGCTCTGATGCTGCTGCTGTCACAATCAGGCTGTGGGAGCACCTGGCTGTCAGCGGCTGATGTGCGCCCTCTCACGAAGTGAGCCGCGGCTCCTTCATGTCCACACTGGGTGGAGAGGGGTCGGCTTACGGGCTGGTGTCAAGTTAACCCTGCTCACCTGATGGCACCTGCTATGCCTGCAATCTAATGAAGGCACGCATGCAAAACCACATCCTGCTTCAGACTGGGCTCTGCGTCACACTGAATGGGGCAAATGACAGCTTAGGTCATGATCTGGCAGCAGAAGAAGAAGAAGCTTAGTGATCCTCATCTGTTCCTGAAGAAGCAGAGGAAATCTGGGCGGTGAGGACAAGGCACCCTCCAGCTGTCTCCATCGCTTCGGATGGAATCCTCCCACACAAGCTCTTATCTTTCTCAGTCCTCCTGCCTCTGCAATTGTTTCACTCCCTCGGTCTCTCGCAACCTCCCTCAACCATCTGTGGTTTGAGTGTGTTATCAAGCCGAGAGCACCCTCCCCCTTCTCTCTCTCTCTCCCTCTCCCTCTCTTCCTGCAGGCAACTGCACCCTGCAGAGCATGGCCACTTCCTCTCACAGAAGACAGCGAAAGCAAGAGAGAGGGGCAGAGGCATGAGTAAACAAAAACGTTGATGAGCTGGAGATATGAAGTCTCGCTGCTCTTGTGAAGCGTATGTTTGAGCAGCAGCAGGAAACAGAAGCAGAGCTGGAAAACATGGCCGATCGCCTACATAAATTCTGCTGCTGATTGGTAACCAGCCAGGCCACCATACAGGTGCATCTCAACAGATTAAAACAGGGGTTTCCGCCTGGGAACCCAAACATGACTCCTAAAAATGCACATTCACTTGAATATTTATTTATAAACAAAAAGTCAAGTGATTATATAAATGTTTTAATGTTAGTGAAAACTAACTGTCGGTTAAACTCCTCCTGGCCAGTAGGTGGCATCCTCACGCAGGCCTGCGCTAGTGCTGTAATGGTACCCAATTTGCTGATGCTGAAGCTAACCAAACCAAAGATTTAACTCCCCTGTCCAGCATTAAAGGTGACATAAGAGATCTTGGAAAAACACTTCCAGCAGGCTATATTTTTGAACATACACAAGGACCCCTTTAAACCACGTCTTCAAAACACATGAACGTGCATGCTGTCTGCAGCGCGTCTAGAGCAGCAGGTAGACAGACACAGCACTGATGATGCAGAGCGCTTTGATCACTCCTCTGAAACAGTTTATTCACGCCTAAGTTAACTTAAAATGAGAAAATCTGCCGGCAAAACATGTTGGCTTTTATTGTCCTGGTTCCTGCAGTTTGGATTACGTACATGAAAAACACCTTCCAGCCGCCGCAGCAAACTGCGAGGAGGCGACCGGGCCATATGCTGCTGTTGAACGGGATTCCTAGTGACAGTGCACCGCTGGCGTACAGGGGTCTGAGCGGCTCCGACATAAACAATATTTTAATGTAGGATGGTAATCTGGATGAACTGACTGGACTGACCATGTTTTTAGGTGGACTTTCTCACTTCAAAATAGATTCAAACTACTTTTTACCCACTGATCACAGCAAATATAGCTGCTATTGCTACAGGCAAAGAAAGGATAGGGTAGCTCCGCCCAACGCGCATCACACCCACTTTTTCCACCGCGCAGCCAGAGCAGCAAAGATGCTTCAGCCGTGCGTCAGAACTAAACTTGTACAAGCATCAAAAATGTAGCAGCACGTGTGTTTTTACTGCTACTGCTGCTTGTGGTGTGAACGTAGCATAACAGTGGCTAGCTTCCAGCCATGGCGTCCTGCATGAGCATTGGGAGGTCAATTCATTTATGTGTCAGGGGGTGGGGACAAGCAGACAACCCTGATTGACGTGTCACAAACCAATCATGTACAACAGACCATGTTTTGTGATTGGTTAGGGTTATTCATTGATTTCTCACTGTAGCGGGGTTAGGGTTAGTCCAGACACTTCCAGACCTTCTATTTCACTGGTTGCTACGCAACTTTGGGGAGATCTTTAGCAGTGATGTGAAGTGGAATTGCAAATAAAATGCAAAACTTTACCTGTCAAGTCAGGGCATCCAACTTCTCACCAAACCTTGGAGTGAGATTTTGAAAGAATTTGGACATGCAACGCTTGTCAGGGTTAGATGAGGACAGGTGTAGCTATAGGTTGAAGGTTTTCAGGGGATTTAACTGAAACAAAGTTCTTTTATACACAATCCACGCCCACACTTCCCCCTTTAACGTTCTCATGGTGGTCTCAACAACATCCGCAGTAACAACACACATAGGGCGCACCGCACTATAGGGCACATTTTGAGGGAAAAAAAAGACGTTTATATGCGCCTTATAGTCGCGAAAATACGGTAAGTAATTATCTTATTAGTTTGTTTTTTTTACAATTGACAAAACAGCTAAATTATTCAGACCTTCTAGGAGGCTGCAGATTTTATAAAAACTCACCATGACACAAGACAGTGCTTCCATTAATGTTTGATTCTGGTAGATGTGATGTAATTTAAGTTTTTAAACATATTTAATGGACCAAAATAAGAATAAATGAATAGGATAAGTAATAATAAAATAAGAACATCCCTCTGGTTCCTCTTATATCAATCCTGCATAACTGAGTTGTTCTGCACATTCTCTCTTAATGTGGTTGGACTTTTCTTTGGTTGCTGATTTTTTGGAAAATAAAATGCAATTGTTCTTCTTTTTGTGGAGCTCCTATGGGTTTTTGAGGCAAAACCTGAAGCTTTAAGAATTTTGTTTAGTTTTGTGTTTGTTTAATTAATCCTAAAATCCAACCGGAGATTATTAAACTAAACTGAGCAGTGATTTAACTTGTGAGCAAAACATGGACCAAAATTTGGACCAAATTAGGATTCTAAATTAGAGCAAAAATCACTAGGTAAAGAGAAAAGAAACCACACAGTCTCCACATTGATAATTTAAGCTAAATGCTGTATATTTTATAATCTTCAATAATTAAAAAGTGGATTATCTTAGTTAACTAAGTTACTTAATAATCACTCAGAAATTCTGGTATTTTTTTAATATCTGATGTAAGTCCCTCACCTCCTCTGCTGTCAACACAGTGAAAAGGTGGGCGGGTGCAAAAATACGGACTGGATATGAACCTGGCTTCACATTATGTGTTAAGGGCAGATTAGACTTCTGCTACCGCACACATCAAATGTCTCTTTGGTTTGGTCGCAAACCAGTTTTGCTGGTATGCTTCTGCATCGTCGGTCTGGAATTTCTAGGGACGCACAGCAGTTTCCCACAAAAGCTCAAGGGGGAGCCTATTGGAGAACTCGCGAGAACTTTGGCGGATGGTCACGAGAACTTCGCTTTGGCAGAGACCTTGGCATGTTTATATCATTTGTCTAAGGCATCGTACAAGTACTTGTACTTCCGAACCTCCTCGATTAACCTTTCGTCGTAGTTGTCCATTGTAGTTGTTCCTTGGTTTTTAAAAATGGCGCCGAATCGAGGAGGACGACCAAACAGATAGCCGGAAAGGCATACCAAGGACCAATCACAGCAGCTTTTTGTCTGCACACTAGCGCTTGAGATCTGCATCGGTTTGCGTCCGTCCGACGCGTAGTCAGGATTTTTTTTAGGTGCGCACAGACAGATTTGACAATTGCAGAGGCTATGCGTCACAAGCATAAATTGGCCTTAAGCATTAAGGTTGTGTTGAAAACGCGAACTGGATTTTTATCATCATAGTATTTATAAATATAAATAAGTGTAATGGAGTTGAGTATTAATGTCCGTAATTTTTTAGCGTGAAAAATTGCGGATATGGAGTGAGAGCGGGTGAAGACACTGAGATACGTGAGGCTCACGCCCAATAGGTGAGAGTCAACATATTCTCATTATCAGTTCGTATGAAATCGTACGAAAAGTTATGCACACTATTTCGTACATTTTGGACGTTTTTCCTCAAAAAAAACAGATCAGTGCGCATGCGCAGGCAGACGTAAAACTTGCAAAAACAGTGCAATAATTACTTCTTCATGTCTCTAATTACGTTGCTTGCTGTTTTATATCTTAGGGTTAGGGTCAGGGTTAGGGTTAATTGTATGTTAAATTCTATGTTATTGAATGGTGCGTAAGATGCGCATGCGCATACGACCAAAAAAACGTCCAAAACGTACGAAATTACGATGCATAACTTTTCGTACGATTTCATACGAACTCATAATGAGAATACACTGTGAGAGTTGACAGCGCTGTCAAGTAGAAACTCTGCAACCGAGGCATCAGTGGGAAGCCTGACCTGTGCTTTCAGCGTACGCCATCGCGTGAAAGAATCTCCCAAAAATACACTCTGGTCTCGTTTCTCTCTTTTGTATCGTTTCGTTTCTTCTCAAACCCTTTGCAGACGCTTTTTTTTAAGACCCTCGTCCATTTTTAAAGAACCAAAAGAAAGGTGAGTTTCAATGACTGTCTGAAACCGTAGCTCCCCACACATATACACCTGAAAGTGCGCATGTGCAGACACATCACCAGAATGATTGACAATTAGGAGGACCACTTATTTTGATGATTGACCTGGAAAAAGTTAATCCTGCCCTATGCCTTTGACCACAAAATTGGCATCATAACAGAAGTAAGCATTTGTAGATTAAAGACCCATCAAAATGTATTATTTATATACTATATTTTTTGTTAAATTAATACTTTTTCTCTGCACCGCTCTATGCGCCTTGCGCATGTTTTTTTTTTGTCCAGAAAGTTGGAGCTTTGACCTTTAATTCATTTCAAGTGTTATTTTTATTTGTTTAATGGGACATATTTTAGTATGTACGTGTACATTTTATAATTTATTAAATAAAAACATTTTATTTCAAATCATGGTTCATGCATTTATTTAATGGGATACTCAAATTTTTTTCATTTAATAATATATTTCGACCTTCCATTAGCTCAGGAATCAAATAGCCACACACACACACACACACACACACACACACACACACACACACACACACACACACACACACACACACACACACACACACACACACACACACACACACACACACACATGTTGTGTCACAATATCCTTGTGGGGACCTTCCATTCATTTCCCACTAATTTTATGGCCTAACCATGACCCTTGCCCTAACCCTAACCATTACCGACACATACCTATCCCTAAACCTAACCTAAACTCAATTAACACCTTAGTCCTAAACCTAACCCCCACCCCAAGAAGAGAAACTTTCCTTATGGGGACCAGTTGTTGGTCCCCACAAGTACCTATGAGTCCCCAAAATGTAGCATATTCCTAGGAAATTGTCCCCACCAGGTATTAAAGACATGGCCACACAGACATACACATACACACATATCCTGGGACAAGAAAGTTATATAATTTTACAGAGTACAATTTAAAATTTAAGTTCTGATGATTTTCAATAGAATAATGTAACATTTTTGGTCATGAGGAAGACTGCTAGCTTGAC